GAGTTGGTTGGAGGCTGTTTCCCTCCCCGGCGGCGATAGAGCCAGTGTACTGTGTCTTACCCGGTTCTGTGAGAGGTGCAGGTCGGTGATGGAGCGGATCATCTGTGGCGGAGACGGCTGCTTGCTGTCCAGCTCCTGGATCAGACTCTCAAAACGGTCCCACTCTGTGGTGCGTGGCAGCGACAAGGTGCCGCCGCAGGCCCACAGCTCGTGTCTGGGCTGGTGGCAGGTGTGGTAGACTGGACTCCAGGGCTGTGGGACCTCAAACGGGCTCCACAGATCATTTCCAAGCTTTGGACTCCAAACCCCTTCCTCCTGTCCATCTTCATCTCTGCTCCTCTGATGCAGGAGCTGCTGTGGTGGTGCAGCAGCTTTAGAGGACTTCTTCTCTGTCCTCCTGCGCAGGGCGATGCAGGTGAGCACCGGTTTGTTGGCGCTCACAGCTTCTGACAAATGATCTGAAGAAAAGCAGAAGCTCCTCGTATTAATAACCGATCCAGCTCAGTTTACTGAACAACAAGCTGACATCAACCTCATGAACTCACTGCTATTCTCAGACGTGCTCTTCTCTTTTCCAGCTCCAGTCTGATGCGTCTTCTTTGCTTGGACCAAGTTCTGGAACTTCTTTAGTCTTCCTGCTGCCTGTGCCGGTTCTGCCGGGTCAGCTGGAGTTTCACTGGGCTAAGTACAGAACAAATGGATGCATTCGGTGCCACGTTCAGAACAAACCCCATCAAATACTGCATTACAAAAACACAAAGACAGATACAATACACAGCAAGAGGAGGACCAGGTACGTTTTAAGCTGCTGCTGCAAAAACAAACAAGAAAACACCCATTCCATCGTGTCCATCTTGCAAAATATACATATTTCTTTAATCTATAGCACTAAAATGCAACATCAGCAGTCATATTATTCCAAAACCAACACATATAAGAGTAAAAACACCAACATGGACAATTTAACTGCACAATAAATACTTTAAATTGATATATTTGTGCTTAAGTAGACTTTCAAATGCAGTGCTTTCACTTGCAGTGGAGCATTTTCACAGTTTGCTATTAGTTTTGCTTAAGTAAGGAATACTTCTCCTGCCACCAGAGCAGTAAGCTGACAACAGGGCTAATCCTTTTAAAACATGCTCCACACATCCATGATTTCAAGCAGTGGCTTCATAAAGTGCTGGACAGTCAGATGTTGTGGCAGTAAGAAGATCCAGGTGTGCTAGAATACACTGAAAAGACAAAATTACTCTAAAATGGAGATAAAAATTTAAAAAGCAGATTAAAGTGGCTCAACTCCAAGGTTCACTTTTCACCCATCGGCCTTCACTCAGAACTCACAACCCTGCTGAGCTGAAGCCAGATACCTGCGCTCACACATCAGCTGATAGGAAGGTATTTCTATCTCACAGCGCCTTATATGATACTTCTATTAGCACCTGATACTTCACCCTGATAGCATCCAGTTTACATAAGCAGAACATGGATGGCTAACAACCAGGCAGTCCCCTCACATGCGCTGACATGTGCGCCGGCGTCCAGGTACTGCAGGTGTCTGCGTGCCTCTGTGGCCCTCGCTGCCATGTGGGAACGGGATTACAAAACTCTACGCTCTGCCATCTGCACAGCTTTGCAAATAATTATCATTTGTGGTGCTAAAGTGATTGTGTCCACGTGTGAATGACAGGGAGCGTGAAATATTGTCCTCCATGCTGCCCCGTTTGCTCTGGCTCTGGTCCAGAACGTGGTCTTTACTCTGAGAACATAGAGTTACTGTGTTATACGCAGCGTGAACGTGCCATAAGGGGACGGTGGTGTGGTTTTACCTGAGCTGCTGGAGCCGTCTGTGTCCCGTCACAGCTCACTTTGTGGTCTCTGGTCGGCTTGCTGCTGTGACAGGAAGCTTTGCACGTCTCTGCAGGTCAATGCATACGTCAGATCATACTTCATCTCTTCTTCATTCATATGGTGTCAAACATAGAAACTGATAATGCAATAATATACATATATACACATCATGACACACTCTGCTCATTTCTCTGCTACGTTTACATCAACTGTTTCTGGAATCTGATGTCAAACCAGGACTGGGCTTTCTCAGTGGGCACCCTGGTTTTTTCTAATCTGGACATATTCCTTTACCTCTGTTCTGGACTTTCTTCTGATAAAATAGGTCCTTCCTGTCACCAGATGACATCCAGCAGGTATGATTGATGTCTTTCTCTGCAACAGAAGAAGAAGAAGAAGAAGGTGCTGAGCTGTCCAGCTGTACAGACAGAGGTTGAGCCGCTAGTTGCTGCTGTTTAATTAACTAATGAGAAACATGAAGATCTGTGCCCGTGATCGCTCCGTACCAACCTAAGAGTTCATTCTCCAAGGCTGACGTTGGCACACATGATCTGAAACGATAATGACAGATGTGTTCATTTCATATTGGACACGAGAAAGAAAAACACAAATACTGATGATATGAGAAGTTAGCAACGAACTCTTACCTCCTGTTGTCCCTCTTTAGTTTTATTGCACTCTGAGGTCGGTTCTTGGAAAACAAAGACAAACACGACTTTTAGCAAATACATAAGAAAGAAATACATACAGACATAAATGCTAACTGCTATAAGTGTTCATTAGCTTTGCAGGTGAAGACGCCTGATCACCACCTCCTCTCTCTGTGAGTTTCCAGATTGTTGGCTTTTACTTTGTATGACTCTGACTCTGTTAGCGATCCGTCTGAGGGCTCCAAACTCAGCATCAGTGTTCTAGAAGGTCTGCATAAAGTCTTATATCTGACAAACTTACAGAGCTGATGGATGGATCTGAGCCCCCCAGCTCAGCTTTGTGCCTCAGAAGAGCCGGACTGCGCTGGTACTTGGGCAGGACCTCCTTCAGGGTTTGGCTGTATGCTGGTTCATAGATGCTTTCTGTGGAACCCTCCTGAGGGGAAATAAAAAAAAGCAATCAGCCTGCATGTTGTAGGACCTTCAGAATAAATACATCATGCATGAATCACCTCTCAATCATCAGTCCTACACCATGCCTACAGAGGTTTGACATCTACAGTGTGATTCTACATGTAGAGCTCGTCATTCCAGCTGTATAATCAATACCTATCACCCAGGAGTAGTGCATGTCAGCAGTTTGCCAAGTGTTTGGCCATGTGAAGATAAATACTGGATTCTTTTCTGTAATATTTAGAAAGCAATGAAAAACTGACGGATTTCATTCAACTTTCTACAGCGTTTCACATTCATGCATCTCGTCACAAAACACGTTTCTTCTCCTCTCCTGATACACGTCGGAGTTCCCCAACGGTGCATCTGGATACCTCTTTTATTTCCTCTACACGCTCCCATTTGGCCTCTTCAAAAAACTGCAAAACTCCTGAGTTTCAAAGATACTGAAACCATCGTATATGCTTTCATTCTCCTCTGCTTGGATTCCTGTAACGGGCTTCTAGCAGACAAACAACCCTCCAGTTTCTAAACTAGACTAAATGAAGCAGCTAAACTACTGATAGAAAGGAAATACATCATATTACTGCTTTTCTGTTTGTTGTTGTTGGTTTTTGTAACACTAGCAGCCATCTTTTTTTTACCAAACTGTCCATCCATCCATCATCTCTACACCTTAATCCTCACCAGGGTCATGGGGGGCGGAGTCTATCCCAGCTGACTCAGGATGAAGGCAGGTTCACCTGGACAGGTAACCAGTCTATCACAGGGCTACACTTAGAGACAGACAACCAAGCACACTCACATTCACACCTACGGACAATTTACAATCACCAATTAACCTCAGCATGTTTCTGGACTGTGGGAGGAAGCCGGAGAACCCGGAGAGAACCCACGCTGCACGGGGAGAACATGGAGACTCCACGCAGGAAGATCCCGGGTGTCCTCACCGAGACATGAACCAGCGACCTTCTAGCTGCGAGGCAACGATGCTAACCACCGATGTTCACGGTACCGGACTTTATCTGAACCTCACCAGCCTGCCCACAGTCCAGATGTGTGACTTTGACACAGAGTGTTTTTATGGGTTTAATCGACAACCAGAGAGGAACACAAGTTGGTTTTATTATTATTATTATTTTACAACCTCTGGTTTTTTACATGCTTTATGAGCTAGAGACCATGATGGGATCACGGCACTACATGTGGGTTTTCTGAACCATGAGTTGTCATTAATACATTATTGCATGCGTCCTCAGGGCTGGAGGCCATAACATAACGTGCACGGTAACACCGGTGTAATGTTTTTGAGTCCATTTGAAATGCATTTTGAGTAAACAAACTGTCAGCAAGCAATTTACAACGAATGCACTATTGATTTGGTACATTACAGCTTTAATGCACAACAGCTGCTTGCTAAATGGAATATATATATATATATATATATGTATTTTTTTTTATTTGCACCAATGAAGTTGTGCAGTTTTGAAGTATTTTGTCTGGCATCAATAATATCGTTATCGCAAGTTTTCTCTTTTATATGGGGATAAATATTTTTGGCCTCATCACCCTGCCCTAGTGCTCAGTACTCACGGGTCGGACCGAGCCACCTTTGAATCCAGCATCAAACAATACCAGCTACACCATCATGGTCATAAACGTTATTGTATTCTGCCATTTAATACCCTCTAGACCAGTCTCTGGTGTCTTCAGTGACTCTTTATTAACGTCCTGATACCAGGCTTTTACCCTTCAGCCGATCACAGGCCACTAAACTTTGTCGTTATTCTGTCTTTTCTCCAGACAACAGATTCTAGACCCAGTTTCCAACAATCACATCAGCAACATCTGAGACAACCTGAGGATCTCTGATCTTCATGAGTGGGCAGTCTGAACCTTCTCCTCTGTCAAAGGTTGCAATGCCCCCTTTTAGCATATCAGACTACAGTCTTTCAGAAACCCAACATGTTTAGACCATTTCTGTACTAATTATTGTAGTTTTTGATCATTTTAGGAAAGAAAAAACAACTAATTATGAATTTCTTCTTGATGCAACTTTTAGAGCCGACAGAAAAATACCACAAAAATCTGACCAAACAATCCAACAAACCATGAGAAGCTGGAGCTCACGACGCGCTCGGCTTATGCTGCTGCTGTCACGTTCACTGGGATCAGCTGCATCATACAGTTTTTCAGCCTTAACTCGTGGGACTCGGTTGTGTAACCGCCGACATAAATCTGTCATAGTTTGTTCAGGTGAGCAGAACATCTCGTAACTTATTACGGTTCCAAGTTCATAAAGCCGATGACACGTTTTACGGTCGGTACTGTTAAATTTAACCTGACACTGAGTGGAAGAGGAGTCAGGGTGCAGTCACCACCATAAACTGTGTTCTCCTCCCTCACAAGTCCTGCAGAACCACAGAGAGCCATGACTGTAACTCACATGACAAACAGTCCAATCTGTACCATAAATTAGTGTTAATCTGTTGTTTTTTCTCCTCCTGTTGTTCTAATTAATGTGACTAGCAACATGCACGTTCATTATTCCTTATTAAACATCTGAATCGACGGGTTTAAAAGCACACCACAATTATTTACCATCATATAATCATCTATTGTACTATTATGGTCAGATTTACATTTACAGTTGTAAGAAAAAGGAGGCCTGCATCTAAGAAAGGATCTTAGAGAGAAAGTTGTCTCGTCCCCCAGAGAGCCCATTTCAGATCCTTGTCAACAACAATAACATCAGCAGCGTCTCCCACCGCGACGCTCACAGCTCCCTCTGCTCACCAGCTCTTTGCAGCGTCTAAACGAGTCCTCCTGACAGACTAGCTCAGAATTTACAGCCGTTCACAAGATGAATCTTACCAGCGTGAAGCAGAACAGGTTCATGGTGAACAGCCGCAGACAAAGGAACCAGAGACGAGCCGAGCGTCGTGGCCTCAACACACACCAGCCACCCTCTAACCCGCTCAAACCCACACACAGATGCACCCTAACGCACCCCAGTGATGCGAAGGCTCACGCAGCCCCCATGCTGCCTCCAGCCCGATGGCCTAATCCTGGTTTCAAATCCCTCACTTAATCCAATAGATGCAGCGAGCCATTGCTGTCCAACACCGGGCTCAGAGAGAGTCAAGCCACCCGGAACAACAAGACAATGAACAACACAGGCTGGCTTTGTTTGGCATGTGTCTGAAATGATTATGATGATAACCTGATGGAGATTAAGTAATCACTAAGAGAGGTTAAACGCCCAGCGATTTACTAATGACTTTCTGTTATCGCTCGTGCAGAATGCAAACACCCGGCCAGGTCTCCTCACATGTTTCCAAATGTGTTCATATGTTGAAACCAAGACTTGCATGATGCTGCTTGTAATCAGCCTGTGGATGCTGTTAATGATGTTGTTTCTAAATGCAATGAGTGCAGCTTTAATGTTCACAGTCACATCTCATCCTGCTTTATGTTTCTACCTCAGTGCATTTATTAGACAACTGGTTACAAGTGAGGTTTCTCAGTCATCATGTCGTGACCTTACGGGTCGATCTGGAGGGTCCTGACCCATATTTGTGAACCACAGGTCTCCATTATGTATTAAGCGGTTAAACCAGTTTCACCTCCAGCAGCGAAACACAACCGACACACCAAATCACAAACCTCTGTCATATACGATAATATGGCAGGCATAGGGTTTTCTGTAGAACAAATACTTTTACTTTGATCCTTTAAGTACATTTACCGGTAATGCTTCTGTACTTTTACTTAAGTAGGATTAGGAATGGAAGATAATCGTCCTTTACCGCCGTGTGTCGGCAAACAAACGTGCAGCCGACAGAACAAAGACTTGATTTTATTTCTCTAATGACAAAAACAGAGCAATGAACTGCAGCGTATCTACTGGACAAAAGTAAAAAAGCAGAAGTTTATTCCTTCATATGACACAGAGAGGCTCCACTGACAGCTGCTACCTGTGACACCTGAAGACATGTTCCCTCTGATCCACAGACCTCTGAATGTGCACAAACCCCTCAGAGCAGTGCTGCCTTTCATTCTGGGGATGAAGTTTTGAGGTTATTCTCTGCAGGCGGTGGTCTCAGTGCCCAGAATCCTGATAAAAACACTTCTTTAATTATTATAGATGTCAGGCTGGAAGCCCCCTCCCCCCGCCCGCCTCTCTCCTGTACAGCTATCCACACCTTCTTCTGGCCTGCTGTCTTTTTGTCTCCCATCCAGAGATAAAGAAGACCTTTCATGTTGTTGTGATCAGGGCTCGGCTGCAGAATTAGGTCAGAAAATGAGGACAATATTTCTCTGGTAGAAAGAGACAAACATGCTCCTCGTATTTAGCTCTCTCAGAAGGAAAGCTGCACATTTTCATCTCCGTGTTGACTGCAGCCACTGCTTCTGTTACTGGAGAGTGTATTTTATGAATAATAATGCAAACCAAAGCTCTGTTAGCAAGGTTTACAATGAGAACAATAACATAGCATCATGGTTAAAATGCAAACCGTTCAAAATATGTTTGAAACTTCTTTTCAGTTTTTTGAGGTTACCAGGGAAACAAATCATACACCACGTAATCTATGATTGGTTAATAAAGGTGTGACATCTGGAGTACAAAAGAATAAATTAAACAGATTTGTTGCTTAGAAATGTTTTTATTACCAAAACAAATTTAATCCAGAAGAGACAATTTTCCCTTAAAACATAGTTGAGAATGCAAGCTGGTTGTAAATTAGCTTCATTTTTAGGAGACTGTCCATTCACCAACAGGGTTAGATCAGATTTAGCAGCATGACAGGGTGACACAATATAGGCAGTTTTAATGTTGTTACAGATCAGTGTTAATGTAGTAGTGATATATGCTGTATAGCATCATACAAGACAGGAATATGTATACAGTCATATATTGTGTTTAGGTTATAATGATTCTTTTCTTCTTTCTGTTTACTTTGACTTTATGGTTCAAGGTCAGCTCACCGACCGAGGAAGCTGCTTCACATCCACCCAGTTCCACACATTCAGGTTTGGAAGCAGCCCAGTTCAGCCACGGTCTGATCTGCTCAGCGTTTCCGGATTACGGTAAGTGCCTTGCTCGAGTGCACCTCAGCAGCGGCGATGTCCGGCCTGTAATCTCTGGGCCGCTGTTCACCACCAGCTCATTGTGCAGCTTCAGCCACAATCCTGTGAGTAGCTATTAGTGCTGCGGCGCATTAAAGATGTTATGGCTGCATGTTTAATATGTTATGGCTGCCGCTGCTGCTGGATTGTGACCCCTGCTGCACAACATCTGCCACCGAGCTCATGTGAAAATCCGGGTCTGGTTTAGAGCCTTTAGAGTTTGAGCTGTGGTTTTCTGTTGTGCTTCACAGAACCATCTGTAGAACGTGGCTGAAACATGTCTGGACCTGAAGCATCCTCAACGGGCGGTCAGCGTCTCTCATTTAAGTTTTATAACAGGAGGAAAGTAGGAAGTGGTCCCTTCACCAGGCGATGGCACAAATGACTGAATGTTTCTCTTCTTTTTTTGACTTTCTTGAGATGGTTTTTTTTAGATTTCAACTGTCATAAGACTTCTGGTCCAAGTCTTCAGAGATGGAGCATTTTAACATTTTAACCTGAGGAGCTGAGAATAAATCACTGGAGTGTGTTCAGGCTTTGTGAATAAGCACATGTAGTATTACTGGCTACAAGTGTACAGCTTCAGAGAGTGTCTGCAACCCGACTGGTCGAATCTACGAGGGTGGGACTTGTGCGGACCGGGTTGACTGTCTGAGACACTCCATTGGCTCTTCAGGCTGTCACTCACCCCCAAAGCCCTCCTATTGGCCAAACTCGGTGTCAATCAAACGCTAAGACGTCCGTCTAGCTGCCTGTAGCGCTTTCAGCGCGATCTGAAATAGATTCAGCCTGATTTTACCAGAAGAAATGAATAAAACAGCCGGAGCTGATCTCAAGCTGGGAAGACATTACTGCAGAGTTTGTGCCTTTGAGGATCTAATACGTTTTACGGATTATTTTCCGGGATGATGTTGACTGGTTGTGTCCGGACAGAATGAGACCAAGCTGGTGAGGAATGAGCGATGTTTGAGCTGCAGAGAGCCTTCAAAAGTAAGAAAACTCCGATTTTAACATGTTGCTTTTCTGTACAAAAAGCTCTTTGTGTCAACGCTGTGGCTGCTGCAGGTCAAAAAGGTTTATATCATCGGAAAGAGGAGACTCTGAGCTTTCATTTGATGTGTATGTTGTCGGGAAACGTGATTGTGGAGCATGCGCACATCTGGCTGTAATGTGTTTGGAAAGTGGTCACGTCCCGCCGGCGGGCCGTGGGAGCGGTGAGGGGTTAAAAATGCTGTTCTTAAATTTATTTATTTTTTTAAAATTGCAAGTATATTTTGATTGAAATCACCCTTTAAAACTAGAAGCCGTGCACTTCTCCGGCCGTAGCAGAGAGTCCAGCCTCTCCGTGCAGCCCTCTACCAGCAGCCTGTACGGGGCTCTCCGGCTCTGCACACACAACCTTCCTATTGGATCCCATCCCGCAGCACGTCACAACGTTTCCGGCCTCATTTACTACTGCTCATGCGCAGAGCCGAGAGCAGCTATTAGTGGTTCTATGATTTAATACCAAGTTTTGGTAATTGAACCTTTAAATTTCAGCTTAATGTTGCTGTGTCATAGTGATCTGTTCTAAATATGTGAATGGCTCTGAGTGCACACTGTAGTCTGACTGCAGCTCAGATAAAGCAGCTACAGTTTCACTGTGAGACATGCTTTTGGCTGTTGTTTCTTAGAAAAGCAACGTCTGTGCTTTAATAGTATGAGGCTTTTGATAAAGCATCTTAAACAAATGTATCCATGCAAATAAGGTATTTCCAAAGAAGTTTAGGAGGAGACATGGTATCGGTATCTGTATCGGTATCGGCAGATACTCAAAGTTGAAGTATCGATATCGGTATCGGAAATCAAAAAGAGGTATCAGTCCATCCCTAGTCACAACAAACGTTTGGAGATTTTGAAAGCAGTCTGCAGCCACATAAAGACTCCTGTGTGTGGCGAAGCACTGAGTGGGAAAGATCCACAGAGCAGCAGCGTTTGGGAATTTAATTTATTGTAAGTTTCACACATTTTTTGTCCATTAGGGAGATACACTTCTTTAAAAAATATTATTATTTCACTGTAATGGACACTAATGCATTGCAGACTCTTGGAAGTATTTATTTCTTTCCTTTTGTAAGTGGACATCCAGTCATGTATTACTCTTGTGTGAGCCTGAACTTGTTGGTATTGAAGGCCAGAATGCTGCCCTCTGCTGCCAGCAGACAGGAACAGCGGTTTGTGCAGCGCCAGACTCAGTAGGCCTTACTTTAATCCTTGAATGTTCCAACCTAATAATCAGCGACGACAAAAATAGCCTCTGTTGCTTTTTTGTGTCCAGCTGAGGCTCCAGCTCAGATCTGAGACCAGAATCACAGAATATCACCACAACACATCAGCAGCTGTTGTGTGATTTGTGTTAGATTTTTAAAGCAGTTTAGTGAGAAAACAGCAACTTTTACTGTGTAGTCTTTTGAAGCTGTTATTCTCTTTGTGTCGCACACTGTTCTGGATGCATTAAAGATGAACAACTCATCTCTGTGTTTAAACCACAAAACCATATTTTAAAATGAAAATAACCCTGTTTCCTTAAAAAGCCCGACATGTAACTGAACATGTGCACATCTGGGGAGTCTTTCTGCACCTGCCCCTCCACTACTTGCTGCTCAAGCACACCAGCTCACCTACAGCTCTGCTCTAAAGAGCTCCTCTGTGCAGCTCAGTGGTAAGCTGTGATGTTGGATGAATTCAGCCACAGCTGCAGGTTTGGTTCCTGAGGTTTGTCTGAAATC